TAGTAATGCTGTATTTACATCAACCAAATTGCGGAAACCCATTCCTTCTTCCGACTTAGGTCGACACATTTTATGCCACGTCAACCAATTAATTACCATTTGAAGACCACCAGTATCAAGATAATGTACTAGTTAATTTTGTTGTAACTATTTTGGGGAGACGGAAGCATGACATAACAAAGCTGGGCATTGCCGATGCCACTGATTTAATTAAAACCTCTTTACCTCCTTCCTTTTGATAAGAACTTCGATATCCAACCATTTACCTGGTCTTGTTGCTTTTCTACTACGTAATTAAAAATCTTGCTCTTTGCTCCACCAAGGCTTTCCGGGAGTGCTAGGTTGTATCCCATTCTTCCAACACATGATATTCTTAGGAGCTGTTTCAGCTCATTTTTCACCGTATCAGGAACCGTATGGCCAAATCGTACTGACGACTTATCAAAAATTAATTTTTCCCCTGAAGCCTTCTCATACTGACTAAGTATTTTGAGAATCATTTCCCTCGTAGCTTTGCAGAAAAATAGGCTATCGTCCGCAAATAATAAGTGGGAAATCGGCGGACTTGCTCATGCGATTCGTAGACCCGTTAGTGAACTATTTCTTTCCATTTTCTTAATATTATAGCTATTAGGACCTCCGTACATAAGATAAACAAATACGGCGATAAAAGATCTCCTTGTCGGAGCCCCCGATTTGCTGTTATTTGTCTTTTTGGAATTCCATTTAGCAGGACTTTATATTGAACCGATGTAATGCACTACATCATCCATGTGATCTATTTTTCCGCAAACCCGAACTGTCTCAGTAAGTGTTCTACAAAAATTCATTCTACTCTATCATACGCTTTGCTCATATCCGTCTTTATTGCCATAAATTTTCTTTTACACGAATTATTGGTCTGTATATCATGGAACATTTTCTGTGCTATCAGAATATTATCTGATATCAGTCTTTCGGATACAAAGGCCGACTGTGTTTCCGAGATGAGATTAGGTAGTAATTTTTTTAAACGGTGGCATAGTATTTTTGATATGATCTTATCCTACATTACATAAACTTATTGGTCTTAATTCCGTCATTTTAGTAAGTCGCTATTTTTTGGGTATTAGACAGATATTTGCCATATTTAAACGTTGATCAAAACCCCCATTTCCATGAAATCATTGATCATAATCACAATATCCGCTTTAATAATTGGTCAAGAGCTTTGAAAAAATAGGACCGTCATTCCGTCTGGTCCCGGAGCTTTTTCCGGGCTCATCATGAAAAGTGCCGATCTGACTTCCTCTTTAGTAGCCGCTGCTGTGAGCATTTTGTTATTCTGTTCCGTAACTAAAGGGGAGATTTCCCCCAACGCTTCCGCAAAATCTGTCCGGGAGGTTATTGAAAATAGTTCTTCAAAGTATTGGACCGCTACTTGTTCAACTTGTTCCTCGGTCGATACCCAAATTCCTGATGTATTGTATAGACCGATGATTTTGTTTCTTGCTCTACGTTACTTAACCAAAGCATGGTAAAATTTCATATTTTTATCTCCCAAAGTGGCCCATTGTGTTCTGCTTTTCTGTTGCCAAAACAACTCCTCTCTGTATGCTTCTTTTAATTTTCTCGTGATTTCAAGTAATTCCACTTCCGTCCTCGTGTCATCTTTGTGTTTTTTTCGAGGTATTTTATCTGCTACTGTTGCCATTATCGGTTTATGATCCGATCCAATCATCGCCAAATACTCCACAAAGGACTGTGAAAAAAGATCGTGCCAGTTTTCAGTGGCTAAGGCCCGATCAAGTCTATATCTTACAATCTTACCGTTTCGCCTCCCTCTCAGAAAACCATAATCTCTTATCATAAGGTTTAAAGATGTGAAGGTTGATGCATGTCGTAATGGTCCACCTTGTTTTTCCTGGTTACTTGTTATTTCATTTAAGTTGCCAATGATAAACCAAGGCCCTAACCGATTAAGACTTATTCTAGTTAATATTTCCCATTTTTACTGGATCACCATAGACGAAAGATTAAAAATATTTTTTCCTTGAACAACCGCTTCAATATCAATTATTCGATTATTAGAAAAGAGTACATTTACATTAAAATAATTTTCATAGAATAAGGCAAGTCTACCACTCGCACCACACGACTCAACCATATACAATTTATTATAACCAAAATGAAATTGTAATTTATGTAAAAAAGAAAAATCTTATTTGGTTTCTGAAAAAAACAAAAACTCTGGCCTGTGTTTCTTCCAAACCTCGCAAAGATAACTTCTTTTCCACTTATTCCCAAGTCCTTAGCAACTCCAGCTAAGAACCTTCATTTAATATATGAGTAATTATGGATTTTGCTCTATTTTTGGGTTTGAAGGACCCTTTGGAACCTCTTTAGGTAGACCATCTCCTTTACGGATCATGAGTTTTACCACCTGTTCCTTTCGTGGAGAAATCAAAGTTTGGACCACTTTTTTCTTTGAACCAACGCACAGAGAGTACTGTTTCGATACCCGTATTTACCTGTTTCAGAAATTCTTGCATAGCATCACTTGTGTCATTAGAATTCCCTTTGACAGCCATACCTATCTTCCCACCCGAGTTACCATTCTCCTCGCATTGCATCATCATTTGCTCCTGTCTCTCCAAAGTCATCACCGAGGAGATCATCTTCCTCAAAAACCAAGCTTTTCCTCATTATTTTATTGCTTGGTATCACCGCATTGTCATCACGTTCCCCTTCCTGCACCGATCGAGTTTCCCCGTTTTTTTTGGTTCGCTGGAATGCCATAGGGAGCATCTAATGCCATGTTCTCCTGGCCCGATGAGTCTGTACCCAATGCTAAAGATTTTGATTGTGTTACCATGGTTGATGCCTGTTGTTCTTTCGGCTCCAAGTCTCCTTTTCCAGCTTCTCCATCTTTCAAGACATCCCCTTTCAAGCCTGATGTCAGGTACCGCTTATGAAATTCGTTTGGAGGAATGTACCCAAATGGCTTTATGTTCTTTGATGATCCTTCACCATATTTCTTCTCCACTCTGCCTTTAAGCTGTTCTTTATCTTCTTCTCCGTTTGTTCTTCCTCTGCCCTTGTATTGTCCGTGATAAGCATTGTTCACACCTCCATTCTTTACCGCCGTCAAACTCCAGTGTTGTTTCGAAGCATAGCGGTTTGAATCCATCGATCAGCACTTGCACTTTTCCCTCATCCAGATGCACCTCTTTTACATCTCCAAGGGCTTTCCCTATATTTCTGAATGTGACATCAGCCCAGAAGTAGAGAGGTATTCAGATGATTCAAAACCAGAATTTGATCATCGATGGGTAGCTTGGATCAAAGACCGGCGTCCACCGTACAAGCGACAACATCCAGTAATCAAAATGGAATAGTTCCATTTTCATCACTTCCTGGAGATCCTCTTCCCGATCAAAGTCGAATTGGAACTCTCCGAGATCTATATCCGCACAAGCATTTAATCGTTTATGACAATGAATCCGGTCTGCAATCCTTAATCTGGTACAGCCCTCAACAAACGGCCAAGAGAATGATTTAATCGATATTCGTTTATACCAGTTTCCTAAAAGGGAATCAGCCCAAGATACTCGATCTCGGGGAGGAACAAACCACCAGAAGAATCCGTGTGTAATCCTGATTAAGATCCATAATCCCGCCATTAACATATCATCAATGCCATCAATTTTGAATCTTTCAGATTCGATTTTGATATTGGGTTCGCAATTAAGATGACAAACTGATTCCCAGATCCGATCCCACTCGTCCGTTGATGAATCCTCATCTAATTCCAATCTCAAGCCGATATATTTTTTAAAAAATATATGTAATATGTAATCTAATTTAAGTTAGCTTTTAAAAAAAAAATCTAAAACACATCTGTAGTTACATTTTTCCCTGACTGATAGAAAAATACTATCTAATTCTAAGAAAAAGGAGAAAATATAATACCATCGAATTTTCTATTAAAAATATTTTATGCATATACAAAACTGTTCTATATTTACTTTTTTGTTAATTAATAAATCATTTTCAAAAACCATTGTATAAAAAAACTAACGACTGATATATTTCTGGTCAAAATTTATAAATGAAGTAACAACTAACATATACAGATTTTTCAGTCGATAACCATCGTAAATTTTAAAATTATATTGGTCAAGAAAAGCTATAATATTCCCAAAGTCATTGTATTTATTAATACCAATGCTATAATATCAATTACCATGTGTTTGATAAGATTTTGAAATATGTAAAGTAATAAATTATATTTTAGACTAAGTGTTTTTTCAGAGTTAAGAAAATATATTATAGGTAGGGTCAAATGATGAAATGAAATATATTATGATTGAAATTAAAATATTTTTCTTCCTCTGGTGTTCTTTGCAATTTATGACCTTGTTGGATTCACAATTTCTATTCTTCTTTTTATAAATGTCTATGCAATAGCTTATTTTCTCTCAACTCGGTTATTTTCTCAAACCTTCATATCATATTTACTTTTTTGTTAATTAATTAATCATTTTAGAAAAACATTGTATAAAAAACGAACGACTGATATATTTCTGGTCAAAATTTATGAATGAAATAACAACTAACTATATATAGATTCTTCAGTCGATAACCATCATAAATTCTCAAATTATATTGGTCAAGAAAAGCTATAATATTTCCAAAATCATTGTATTTATTAATACCAATGCTATAATATCAATTACCATGTGTTTGATAAGATTTTGAAATATGTAAAGTAATAAATTATATTTTAGACTAGGTGTTTTTTCAGAGATAAGAAAATATATTATAGGTAGGGTCAAATGATGAAATGAAATATATTATGATGGAAATTATAATATTTTTCTTCCTCTGGTGTTCTTTGTAATTTATGACCTTGTTGGATTCACAATTTATATTCTTCTTTTTATAAATGTCTATGCAATAGCTTATTTTTCCTCAACTGGGTTATTTTCTCAAACCTTCATATCATATACTTTTGAGAAATGACTGAAAAATTGACCCTAAATTTGGCCGGAAACACAACTGCTGAACACATTAGTGATATTTCTGTTCTGATAGTTGATAATGACACTACATCAATTGAATATCTCACTTCAATGCTTAAGCAATTTTCAGATAAAGGTAAAAAAATAACTATTCTTTGCATTTTTTTACCATTTATAGTGATGTTGATCATTTTTCCATTTTTTTTTTGACATGATCATTTTTCCATTTACATATTAACTATACTATTCTAAATTGTTGCATATGTTATGTTAAATTTTACCATTTGCTGTATTTTTTTCCTGATGAATATAATTCAACAACTCTAGATCTTGTGATTTTTACATTGTATAAACCAAGGTTTCTGAAAAAATTTGAAGCTATAGGCTACTAATTGGTCTTGGATCTCAGTTTTGGAGATGATTGTCTTACAAAATTTTTGTTAGAAATTCTAATCAGCTACGTTTATTAGTTCGGATAATAATCTGTCTTAGATATTGGATACTATTTTGTTAAAAACATTGAATTTTAGTATAATCTATATTTTTCGGAATAAATATGATATTTTCATATCTGATGTTTTTAGAAATGATTTTTTTAACATGATTTCAAATGTTTGGTATTAGCCGAAAAAAGTTTCAAAATATTCATATATGTGTATATATATAATGTATTATGTATTAGATTAGTCGATCATCAAATATAATTGATAATACGCATGTAAATTTTTCTTTTAAAATAATTTTTGTAAATAAATACAAATCGATAAGAAATAATTTAATTAAATATTTGAACTTAGCTTCTTAAAAATTTGTATTGAATACCCTAGATATTCGGTGTTATTAGGAAAATAATTGCTGAGTTTTAATACATATATATTCTAAAATTTTTAAGGATAATCAGATTGTCAGATGTTTGGTTCTAGTTAATATATTTAATATATTATGTATTAGGTTAGCCAATCATCAGGTATAACCGAAAATTTACGTGTTAATCTATTGTTTTTTCAACTTTTTCATACAACTAAAAAGTAATAAGGAAAAACTTGATTTTTGTTTTCAACAATGTTTTTTTTTTGAATTTTGTAAATAACTAATATATAAATTATTGTACTAGTGATGAGCGTGAACATGGCAAGTGACGCTTTATCGATGATCGAAAAGCAAAAGGATATTGGACTTGTCATAGCCAACACTGAAATGCCTCGCATAGACTCACATTCCTTCCTCACTGCTTTGCTTCACAAAGAAATTCCTCTTATACGTAAATAAACATTTACACATCGTTCTTTCATTTAATCTTTACACTGTTTGTTAGTTTCTTCCACAAGTTAAATAATCTATATTCTTTTTTGATGTTTAAGTGATACATCCAGAAATAAACACCAAGGAAGCATCAGATCTTTTAACAAAAAGTACACATTTTTGTCTAAAGAAGCCGATTTCTGAAAGTGATATCAAAAACCTGTGGCAGCATGTGGTACCTAAGGAGAGCCAAAAGTTAGAGAAAATCAACATCTCTGAACAGCAAGAGAAGGTTGTGGAGAAAACTATGCTAAATCAGATTGAATCTTTTAGAGAAACCATAAAGAGGCAGAGAATAAGTCAATCATCTTTGTTAGGAAAACAACCCTTCGTCAAAACATTTACAACCCCTAAAACATACCAAAAGAGAAAAGAAAAAGCAATTGATGAAGGAAACACTAAACCGGTTTACCCCACTGAGGCTGAGAACAAAAGAGAGGAAGGAATAAAAATGGGGAGTAATATTGGAAGACGATGCAATGTATGGACTCAGGAGCGTCAAATGAAATTTTTAACAGCTATCTCCATATTGGGTGAAAAAGGTAAGATTTATATTTCATTTTTTTTTTGGACCAATTCTTCTTTTTTTTCTACCATTTAATTATAGTTCTTTATCCTGCAGATTCTCGTCCCAAATCCATATTGAGCATTATGAATGACGCAGACTTGAATCTTCGCCAAGTCGGTAGCCACCTTCAGGTTCATATATATACACTTATATACAGTCTTCTTCAAAATATAATTTTGCTAGCCCTATGATAACCTTTTTTATTCTATGATTAATTGTTTCAGAAATACAAAGCTCAAGTTGAGCTAATGAACGATTCATTGTCGAGGAATGAATGGAGGTCAACAGATAAGATATTCAACTACCCTTCAGACTATAAATATCCTTTCAATGCATCCAACTTAGCGAAGAATATCGTTGAAAGTAACACAAAGTGGTATTCCTTGAGGAAGAAGGAAGCATCCTCATCATCCATCGACCAATGCAAGTCATATTATTTTACTATTTTATTATATAAATAATTTTCACAATTATATATAATTATGTATCATTTTTGTGTCAATTTTTTTTTTTTTTGTTTTTCTTGTATGCAGATTCATTTAAAAAATCTGCTGACAAGGGGAAAGCGAAGATGATGCCCAAGTTTCATCTAGGTGGAAAATTGGATTTGAGTAAGCACTCACTTTTTGATAACGTGTTAAACAAGTCACCTATGGAATTCAAGTACGTTCCTTCAGCCACAAGTAACAAACCACATGTCCTTTCTTCTACCAATGATGTTAATAATAGTGTCTTAAGTAGTGATAACCCTCCTGTTCTTTCTGGTTTACCATTAAGTGTTGATGCATCTAACCATAGTGGCTTAAGTAATAACCTTCCTGTCCTTTTTGGTTTGCCATCAAGTGTTGGTGCATCTAAGCATAATGGTTTAGGTTATGATAGCCCTTCTGTCCTTTCTGGCTTGCCATCAAATGTTGGGGTACCTAACCATAATGGCTTAAGTGATAACCCTTCTGTTCTTTCTGGTTTGCCAACAAGTGTTGGTGCATCTAACACAGATGCATTCCAGATGGGGTCTTCCGAGATTTGTATTGCTCAGTCTGAACCTAACCCATTTCAACCTAGCTCATCTGTTCTTGAAATCGATTGGAACCAACTAGATCTAGACCCTATTTCTACACCAGATCCTTATGTTCCTCTAGCCGATCTGTGCACTATAGGAGAAAGTTATTTTCTTCCAGATCTAGTCTTTACCATGAACCCTTTAGAAACCAATATGGATCAGATAGGTTGGATTCCATCAACCGATAATATTAGCGATGAAACTAATATGAACCAAATGGGTTGGACTCCATCAACAGAAAATTTTAGCCATCCTGAAACCAATATGAACCAGATGGATTGGATTCCTACTCTAGAAAATTATGTTTTTCCTCAAACTGATATGAACATAAATGTCCCTGAAACCAATACAACCCATATGGGCTGGGTTTCTTCAAGAGAAGGTTATGTTGCTTCTGAAAATATAATTCCTTCAGAGATCAGTAACCAGATGGATAGGGTTTCTTATGGAGAAAATCATGTTCTTTCTCAAGATATTATTTCCCATGTCGGTTTTGCTACTGGTCAAACAAATTATGAAACCCCTTCTCAAACCAATACAGACCAGATGAATTGGTTGTTTTCTGAAGAAAGTTTTCTTCTTCTTGAAGATATACCTTTTTTAGAAACCATTACAGCCCAAACCCTTGAAACTAATATGGAAGATACGAGTTTGGTTCCTTATGTGGAAGATACTGATTGTCCAATTGAAGAATTGATTTCTTTGGACATTGACGTCAATGAGATGGATATTGACTGTTGGTTTGGAAATTATGGCTCTTCTGAGGAAAATATTCCTTTGTCGACGATGTATATTGGACATGACTCTGCCTTTAATTCGCTGATGGACTCAACCCCTCACTCCACGATGGAAAACAATGATCAATCACTTGGTATGAATCTAGAGTCGACAAGTCAGCAACATAATATGATGGAGCCCTGCAGATATCAGCATATGAAAACTGAAAATCCAAGAGAGGCTATGGAGGGAGGAGATCATTTTGATGATGATCCTGAGTGCATGAGTTGGATCGATGAGATGATAAACGATAATGCATGACATATATATGTGTGTGATTTCTTGGTGGTTAGTGTGAAAAGAAAAAAAAAAGTATGAGAGAAGAACAATGAGTTTTCAAAAAATTAAATACTTGGAGATTCCAAAAGTTTTTCTGATTCTTGTTTGTACCATGTGGTTTGAGATTCTATTTATGTTTTAACTTCTTTGGATTGAAAGTTTACATATTATAAATAGTTAAATGCTTTTAATATGACCAAAATTAATCTTTTCATCAAATTCATCTGTAGTAAAACCTATGAAAAAGTAATAAATGCTCTAATGTAAATTTAATGGGAAATAATTGTTTGTAATATTTGTTTTTGGTCAGCATATATTATAACATTACTTTATCTCGACTAGAAATATCAAACTTTTATTTTATAGAGTTTAAATATCATATATATATATTATTAGTATTATTTTCTATTTTAATATTTTGAATATAGTTTTTTTTTAAAAAGTGTTAGAAACTTATGTAGCATCTACACATTTTTTACGATATAATAATAACAAAATGTCTCTTACACTTTAACTTATCATTATATTATGCGAAATAGTGATGAAAACTTTTACCTTAATAATTCTGAAATCATATCTGAATTTTGTTATTACAGAATTTTTAATCCAAATTAAAAGTCTGAATATTTTTGTAAACCTCGACCATCGCCTTCTATAGATCTCCATATAGTCTTAAAAAATCCATCATATATTTTTGTTTAGCACCTCCTTGAATTGATTGACATGGTCAAATGCTAAACAAAAATACATAAATGTTAGAGTATAAATACATATGTGATATATATATATATATATATGTGTTATCTTGGTGGTGAATGAGAGGCAGGAAAAAAAAATAAGAGGCGAACAATAAAAATGAAAGAACTTTATAATCTTGTGATTTTTTTTTATGAACTTTTCTTATTCTCATTGTTTTTCCTCTTAATTTTTTTCCCCTCCTCTCATTCACCACCAAGAAAACATATATATTCTATCATACATATACATGTATGTCAGTCATATACAATAATGCTGGAGTCCTACGGATATCAAAATAAAGAAGCCGCAAATCCAAGACAGGGTATGGAGGGAGGAGATGAGTGCATGGATTAGATCGACGAGATAATAAACAGAAATGCATGACATAAATTTGTGGTTTTTTTAATAATGCAAATGTATATCATATTCATATATACATATATACATGTATGCAAGTCATATATAATAATGTTAAAGAGATTTCAAAAGTTATTCAGATTCTTGATCGTACTATATATGTGGTTTGAGATTTCATTTATGTTTCAACTTCTTTTGGATCACTGGTTTGCATATTATAAATAAGTCAAATGCTTTGTATTTGACCAAAACAAGTCTTTCCATTAAAATCAACGCTAGTAAAAAACTATGACCAAGTAACAAATGCTCTCATGCTGACTCTAAATTTTATGGAAATAATAATTAAATAGTTGTAATATTTTGTTTGGGTTAAAATATCAAACTGTTATTTATCTTACCTATAAATATCAAACTGTTGTCAATTAAGTGAAGTTGAACTTATTTGATCATGAGCTGACTGAATTCAACATGGAAGAAGGGAAACGCATGATAGGCATTGCTATGTTGTGCAATCAGATATCTCATGCCTTGAGACGACCAATGTCACGAGTGGTGTGAGATATTGTAGTTTTTTTCACTGGTTTTTAAGCATGATATTCGTAGTTTTTATCAAGTCTTTTTGGTGTTTTTTGAGTCCTTTTGAGTATTTACAAGTTATTGTACGAGTTTGGTTATTTTAGAAACTTTGGATGTTTTTGGATTCAAGTGGATTGAAGAGGAGTTGAAGCCAAGTTGAAAAAAGAAGATTGATCACGTTTTTGACTAATGTCGAGCGACACCACCATTTGTGTCGTTTGACACCAATGACGATTTCCCAACACAAAGTGGACTTATGATTTTGGCCCAAGAGTTCCTAAAGTTTTCAGGATTGACTCAACTCGTGTTTTAACATATAAATTAGATTCTACCCCGTGCAACTGTACGAAATTTTATTTTTTTAATCTAATTTTATAATATAATTTAAAATTTTTTACAGATATAATATTTTTTTTAGTAAATGATACAATTTCTTTTTGTGTTTAGATCAAATTTAGTTTTCTAATAAATTTAACCACGATTATAAAAACATAACTTTAACCCGTTCATCCCTATCTGTTCATCATATTACCATATACTATATCTGTATATATATATTTTTAATATATTTTTTAAATAATTGATTATAAAATATATAATAATATAGCATTTATTATCTTTATCATTATGAAAATATTATTTAAATTTGAATATTTAAAAAAAAATAAGTTAGTATCTTATTTACTATTTTGAAAAAATAATAATAACTGATTTTTGTAATTTTGATAATTAATCCTAACTATATCTAAAAAAATCTAAACTAATTGAATTAAATTTTAAAATTTTCGAAATTAGTTTTATAGATAAAATTCAAATATATTATTTTATTAATTTTTGAAAATCAATAAAACAGATAGATGAAATTAAAATTTTTTGTTAAGTTAAAGTTTTTTCAAAGAGTTCTTCATAATTTGTTAATTGGTTAGACATCTAGGAATTTATCTTATTTTGTTCTTCATCTAAGTAGCTCTTTAAAGCTTGTTCTAGATTGGCCACCTGGAACTAAGATCATAGGTTACTTCTCTCAAGTCTCAGCGAAAGTTGGTCAATTAACTTGAAAGACTTAGGTAAGCAATTCTATTTAGTGCAAAGAAATTTGGCTAGGTAGAATTGTGAACAAATTAGGCTTAAAATTTATGTATGTTTAGTTGTCTAGGTTTCTCAAAGAAATTTGGTTTCTTAGCTTCTTACTCATAGGAATCAGTGCAGCGAAAGTTGGCTGATTTATAATAGTGTTCTGAATTCTAGACCGAGCATAATTAGAATCTCTAGGAATTTTCCATACACCTTTATCGAATCTCTGTAAATCACTCTAGGCTTAGCGCTTTATCCAATTGAATTTGCTTTCTCTCTTAGGCCTGTTGGTCCACCACTGTTCGACTGTTGACCTCTTACTAGGCCTATGGGCCCACTACCTATCCGACGGTCGGTAGTTACATGGTCTGGGATGCTCGTAAAAGTTGTCTACTGTCTCTACAATCATCACATGATCTTTCTTTGTGCTTTGTCCTCACTCGCACGGTATCGTAAACTACTTTCCGGTAGGTCACCCATCCTGAGATTGCTCTAGCATAAGCACGCTTAACTCTGGAGTTCTCTCAAGACACTTGACCGGAAAAGATAAGTGTACTTTGATGAAATAAATAGTCAAATCAATTCTTATAAACCTTTTAGTATATACTGGAAATCGGAATGTCATAATATATATATATATATAGCTCTTGGGTTTCCTGAAAGCTGTTGAGAGAGAAATTTGTAGTGGGTGGTTTTAAAGAGATGTTGATACTTGCGATGAAAGGAATAGTATATAGTAAGCATATGTGGACTAATGGTGTATTCCCTAATTGCATAGACAAACTGATTTTCATGAGAAAATACTACTGACTGTTTTTTCTAGATTCAGGCGGCAAATTAAGGTGTTGATTGGTTTATCCGCTATCATCCGCAAACGCAGCGTCTGCAGTTGGTACCGGTTAGTAGTGTTTTATCACAATCATAGAAATTGCTGTAAACTGCTCCGTATCATTTTATACTGCTGAAATCCAAAAGCTGTTTCCCGCTCGCGGTTGCAGTTGCGGACGGTAGCGATTACGTAAAAAAAAAAAATCACGCTAGAAAAAAATAGAAGATCACGTTAAAAACAATTATAAAACCTTAACCCTACTAATCTTCTCCTATATATATAAACTCTAACCTCTCACTTTTTCTAGTCTCTAATCATGGCTTTCATATCAGTTGAATAAAATTAAGATATAAGCATAAGTGCCATAATACTTTGGTTTAATTCATTTATATTAATTGTTCTGTTTCCACTTTTAAAATAATAAATTATAAATATATATTTTATTAATTACAAAATTAGTTTGTTATAATTCTTTTTTTTATTCTTCAGAAAGTTACATAATCAAACGACATGACATGTGCGTTACTTCAACAGATCATTGTGGAAAACAAACTCAAGATAAATATTCTAGATTTTTTAGTGCACTCCAGAAAAAACGTATTTTGAAGAATACTAATGAACAATTTGGAGTTGATTTGAGTTGGGATCGTGCAGAAAATCAATTAGATCAATTGAAGAAATTTCACATCATGCATAAGACAAATTCAGAAGATCCACGTATTGGAGCAAATTTTTTCTAGTCTATTACATTATTAGACACAATTTTGGGTGATGTTTCCAATAATTGAAAAAAACATATTATTATAAAATTTATTAGTTTTTAAAATAATTATTTATATTTATTTATAATTTTTATTAATTATTGAACTAGTGATTTTGATATTAATCATAATATAGTTTTCTATTTTTTTTAATAATTATATATGATGTTATTTTGGTAATTTGATATTTAACCGCTAAAACAACCACTGATTTGCCATTCAAAAATATTTCGCAAACGCATCCGCCTTAAAAAGTTTAACCAGTCGTGCAAACTGCTGAAAAACACTCAAAATCGTAATCGTCCGCTTTCGCAAACTCCCGCATTCGCAACCGCAACCGTTGCGTTTAAACCAGTCAAATTCTAAAAAACATTTTCTATCTAGTTTCGCCGTTTAACACAAAACGGGTCGCGTGATAATACCAAAACCAATTGCAATTTTGTAGAATATGCTCATATATCATATATATTATAAGCAAAGTAAAATTTTGAGTTAAAGCTCTCTCATTCAATCCCTGGCCAATTACCATTTATCCCTCTTTATATTTTTTAAAATTAAATTTAATAAAAAAATTATTAAAAATCATAAATTAATTAAAAAACTATTAAAAATCGTAAATTAATAAAAAAAATTGTTGAAAATCAAAA